CGAGGGCTAAGGACCCCTGACTGGTAAACTCCTATGTGAAGAAAGGTGTGACTCTACTATGATCAGGGGCTCTTCTCGGTGTGTTTAACCACACCACCCCTCAGAATTTCTGTCAGAGAGGAAGCCAGACACAGTGCTGTGCTCAGTGTAGCTGCAGAAGAGAAGACGAGCTTCCAGCCTCTGGGGTTCAGAGTGCTGACCACACAGTGAGACTCTGAGTGGGAAGCCAGAAAAGGAAGCAGTGGCTCCCAGCTCATCTGTCCTACTGCCCGGAACACTTACCTAACACTGATCACTTAAATATTGTTTCAAAAGCCCCTTCTTTAAAAAGCGTTGGTGAGCAATATCACCCCCTCAAACTAAAAACAAACAACCCCTCCTCCTCCCCCCCCCCAAAAAAAAAACTCCACCAGGACCTCACTGCCGCCTTTCCGTTTGTCCATTTACACCTTCCCTGCAAACATGAAAGATAAGGTGTGGAGTGAGAGTGTCCTTTCATTTCCTTGATCAGATATGTGTCGGTTTCTATCTTGGGTGTGAATCGCATGGCGAGGGAGTGTTAAAAACATGGCCTGACAACTTGTGGGTTTGGTTTTGTTTTTTTTTTTTTTTCTTTCTCCTTTTTCAGTTTCAGTCATTAGAACCTTTGTTCAAAGCCAGGGTTGTTTGCACAGTTCCTAGGTGGCGGGGTGGGTGACCTTGGCTAAGTCCTGTAGCCTTTCTGTGCTTCAAATTCTTTTTAGACAAAATGCACACGGATCTTGGAATGTTGTGTTTTGTTTGTTTCTCTGGTGATTAAACTTTAAAGTCTCAGAGATGCTTGACAAGCAGCCTGTTCTCACTGCCTGACTCCCCTTCCTCCATCCCTCCCTTTCATCCTTATGTTATTAGTTTTTTGTTTGCTTGTTTTTTGAAACAGGGAATTCTGTAGCCCAGGTTCATCTCAAGCTTACTATGTAGCAGAGGATGGCCTTGATTAAATAACTGATCCTCCTGCCTCCATCTCTCAAGTGCTAGTTAGAGGTATAGACAACCACAAGCGACTTTTTATTTTATTTATTTATTTATTTTATTTATTTGTTTGCTTGTTTGTTTTTCGAGACAGAGTTTCTCTGTGTAGTCCTGGCTGTCTGGGAACTCACTCTGTAGACCAGGCTGGCTTCGAACTCAGAAATCTGCCTGCCTCTGCCTTTCAAATGCTGGGATTAAAGGTGTGTGCCTCCACTGCCCCGCATGACTTTTTATTTTTGCATTTTGAAAGAATGTTAACTGTGTAGCACTGGCTGCTCTGAAATTCACCAAGGAGACTGGGCTGGCCTAGAACTTGTTGCCTCCCAGTGCTGGGATCACAGAGCTGTACCACCGTGCCTGATTCACTTATGAATTTTTAAAAAGAAAATTGTGCAGAAGCAGGCAGATCTCTGAGTTCGAGGCTAGCCTGGTCTACAGAGTCAGTTCCAGGACAGCCAGGGTTAGACAAAGAAACTCTGTCTTGAAAACAACAACAAAAAAACAACAAAAAGAAAAAGAAAAGAGGGGCCTTGTGAGATGGCTCAGTGGTTAAGAGCACTGGCTGCTCTTCCAGAGGTCCTGAGTTTAATTCACATCAACCGCATGGTGGCTCACAACCATCCATAATGAGATCTGAGGCCCTAATATGGGGTGTCTGAAGACAGCTACAGTGTACTTAAAAAATAAAAACCAAGCCGGGCAGTGGTGGCGCACGCCTTTAATCCCAGCACTTGGGAGGCAAAGGCAGGCGGATTTCTGAGTTCGAGGCCAGCCTGGTCTATAGAGTGAGTTCCAGGACAACCAGGGCTACACAGAGAAACCCTGTCTCAAAAAAAAAAAAAAAAAGAAAAAGAAAACTGCGTTAAGGGCTGGAGAGATGGCTCAGTGGTTAAGAGCACTGACTGCACTTCCAGAGGTCCTGAGTTCAAATTCCAGCAACTACATGGTGGCTCACAACCATCTGTAATGAGGTCTGATGCCCTCTTCTGGTGTGTCTGAAGACAGCTACAGTGTATTCATATATAATAAATAAATAAATCTTAAAAAAAAAAAAAGAAAAAGAAAGAAAGAAAACTGCGTTAAGCTTTTAGACTAGAGCCCGGCATGCAGTGCACTCTGTATGGTGGTGTGCCCTGTGCCTCCATGGTTCCCCTCTCTCAGCTTCTCCATCCTCTTTTCTGCCTTAGCTACCATTCCAGCCTGTTCCATCATTCCATCATCCCTATTTTGGGGGTGTAAAAAAGTTATTTTCTAAGGTCTCAGTCTTATACTAATTTCAGAAGATCTCTAAGGATCTGGAGACTCCCTGGACTGCAGGCCAGGTGACTGATTTTGTGGTAGGGAGGGGATGAAGTGGGGGCAAGGCATTCTGGTGTTAAACTCCGGGAAGCTCCTTTATCAGCACTTGCTGGAGGTGGCAGGCAGGAAAGGGCTGGACTCTCACAGTCTGGCAATGACTTCCCCTCCTCCCTTTCCAATCCTCTTTACACGTAGCTTTTACTAAGGGTAATCCTGTTGTCCTTTTGGTCACTTTGCCCTTTGTAACATCTCTTCCCCTTCAGGACAACCAGAACTGCTAAGCACGATGGCCCCACCCAAGTCCTACATTTCTAGTAACCTTTCCAGAAGCTTCTGGCTGACACATTCTTTCCTTTTGAGATCCCTCTGACGTCCCCATTTAATGATTTGTAAAAAATAAAACAAAAAAATCCCTTATGTTTTCCTGAACTGTCACTGCCTGTCACTCACTACGGAGTGAGACCTTTGAGGCTTGAGGTGTCTGTAGCCCTAGAACCCTGGCTCGCGCAGAGGAGTGAGCTTTATTTGATCTGTTTATTAACTCACTGTGGTACTTGGGACAGAACCCAGAGTCTGTGCACGCTAGGCAAACACTACTGTTGTGCCATCATGCCTGGTTCACTTGTATTTCTGAAATAAGTCCGTCTTAAGGTCCCCATACTGGACATGAATTCACTATCTAGCCTAGAGAGGTTATGCACTTAATTTCCCCTGCCTAAGCCTCCAGAGTACCTGGGATCACATCCTGTGGTTATGCCCAGTTGAACTTTATCTTTTAAAGTAATTTTATTGTGTGTGTGTGCTTTTTGTTTGTTTGTTTGTTTGTTTGTTTGTTTTAAAAAAAAACAGAGTCTCACTGTGTAATGCTGGCTGTCATGAAACTCACTATGTATAGCAGGCTGGCCTTGAATTCAGACATCCCCCTGCCTCTGTATGGAGTGCTAGGATTAGGCATGTGCCACTATGCCTAGCCTTTTAAAAGCTATTTAAACAAGAAGGCCCTTGGAGCTCTGCTGTTGGTGTGAGCGGGCTTGATGGAGGAATTTCCACTAAGGCTGCCCAGCTCCAGAGTTTCCCCATGAGAAGATGTATAGCTGAGCGGTGAGCATGCAGGCACGGAAGTCAGACAGGGTTTGCTCGGTCACATGGGACATAAATGTGATCATAACTTAGTCTTTTATCCCTCTGCAGCTTTCTGTGCCTGTAAGAAACTGACAACAGCCCCCCATATGCTATTGCGAGGTAATGGGGTTCTCAGCACTCTTCATGCAAGTAAGCTGAAGCCCAAAGATCACTAGGGTGTCCAGGCTAGCCTGGGCTACATAATGAGATTCCCATCTCAAAAAACAAAAACAGGCTGAGCAGTGGTGGCACACACCTTTAATCCCAGCACTTAGGAGGCAGAGGCAAGCGGATTTCTGAGTTTGAGGCCAGGCTGGTGTACAGAGTGAGTTCCAGGACAGCCAGAACTACACAGAGAAACTCTGTCTCAAAAAAAAAAAAACAAATGAGATTATAAAGGTATGGTGGCTCATGTCTTTAATCTTTTTTTTCTCCCCTTCCCTTCTCCCCCTCCCCCTCACTCTGGCCCTGTTCACTCTGGCCCAAAGGTTATTTATTTATTTATTTATTTAAGTAAGTACACTGTAACTGTCTTCAGACATCCCATAAGAGGACATCAGATCTCATTACAGATGGTTGTGAGCCACTATGTGGTTGCTAGGATTTGAACTCATGACCTCTGGAAGAGCAGTCAGTGCTCTTAACTGCTGAGCCATTTTACCTGCTTGCCTTTAATATTAAAGGCAGAGGCAGGTGAGTATCTAGGGCTATATAGGAAGACCCTGTCTCAAAACAAAAAAACAATCAAACAGAACCACCACCCCAGTGCTTGAAGCAATGGCTCAGTATTGAGCACTTACTACTCTTCCAGAGGACCCAGGTTCAGTTCCCAGCACCCATGTGAGGCAGTTACCACTGTCTCTAATTCTGGTCCTAAGGGATCTGACACTTCCTACTGAACACATGGGCAAATACTGACTCACTGACTTAACTGACACAAGGTTAAGAGCACTGGCTGCAATTCCAGAGGTCCTGAGTTCAATTCCCAGCAACCACATGGTGGCTCACAACCATCTGTAAGGGGATCCGATGCCCTCTCCTGGTGTGTCAGGCAGTGTACTCATACACATTAAACGGGCTTACCCTGGCTTAGCTGTATCTGTATGGAGGCTCTAGGTAAATACTGCTTTGCAAACTAGACGAAGAAAGCGACTTGAATGAGTACTACTGAATGAGAGAAGATTGTCAGAATCTCTTCGAGCAGATCTTTAGGTGGAAGGAAACTATTGGTGGTGCCCCGCAGCCAGATTGAGGGAAAGTGGATGGGGTGGTGGTGTCATTATTAGACATTCCATTCCATGCTGTCGTCAGGCGCAGCCACGCCTGTTCCTTTGGTCCTTCCCACCTCCCAGCCCTAATGAATTCTAGGCTCTATTCCAAATACTGAATAAGGTAGAAAAGATTAAATAAAGCGGTTCCGGATAGAACGCGCACTCCCTCCCCAGGCTGTGGCTGTAGAGGCCGGCTCAGTCCCTCCCTAGCTCCGCCTCCTGGACACTGATTGGTCCTCATCATGTGACGTCACGGGAGGGTTTATAATACGGAACCTGGGCAGCGGCACTGCAAAGTCCGCTGTGGCTGAGACTTGTCGAGTCCGGTATCTCCTAGGCGTAGCTGGCGGGGAGTGCGGCTGACTGAAGGTAAAGGAGGGTGTCTGGACAGTGCAAAGACGCCGGCTTGCGGGGTTTGGGGGAGCCGGTGTCCACGGCAGTCTGGGCAGTCGCAGGACCCTGGGGGTGGCAGTTACAGCGCCCGCAGGGGCGTGCCAGTGTTGTGGGTTTGCGGAGCTTGTGGGAGCCCGACCCGCATCGGGGCTCTTTTTGGGCACACTGCCCGACCGCCTCCTTCCTGCGAGGATTCTCCTCTGGAGAATGCAGATCATGGCTTCTGCTTTTCCTCAACCTGGAAGAGGGGCGCAGGAAAACAACCTTACATCGGATCTAGTCTGCAAGATCCGCACCCCCGGGGATCCTAGCTCCGGAGGGTTTCTCCGACCTCAGGACCACTCCTAGGGCCCCTAGGGCGGGAGAACGCCTGTGTTACACCTGTAGATAATTTTTTGTTTTTTTTAAAGAAAAGGGGAGGGAGAAAAGCATTGGAGATGGCTCAGCGGTTAAAAGCGCCTACCCTAAAACACGAGAACCTTAATTGACCCCTGAGACCCACATACTCTTGCAAGTTGTTCTGACTTCCATACTTAAGCTGTGTGTGGCTTACACACACACACACACACACACACACACACAATTTTACTGTGGAAAAAAAGAGGCACCTAAAAATCATATTTTAATAAAAGGAATATTTAGAAGGGTCGGGGGTACAGATTTAGGGAAAGGATCCAAAAGTTACAAATTCGTATTTATTCCAAACCTTTCTCTCTCTCTCTCTTTTTTTTTTTAGCCTTGTTTAGATAACCCAGCTTGTGCTACCTGCCATTTCAAGGCCTTCTGTCTTCCTGGCCTGTGCTGGAGCCCAAGACCTGCTCCTGAGGTCTACCCTGCTCCCTAGCTCGCCATGGGGAACCACTTGACTGAAATGGCACCCACAGCCTCGTCTTTTCTGCCACATTTCCAGGCCCTGCATGTTGTGGTCATTGGGTTGGATTCCGCCGGGAAGACTTCCCTTCTTTACCGCCTGAAGTTCAAGGAGTTTGTCCAGAGCGTCCCCACCAAGGGGTTTAACACTGAGAAGATCCGAGTGCCCCTGGGGGGATCCCGTGGAATCACTTTCCAAGTGTGGGATGTTGGGGGTCAGGAGAAGCTTCGGCCACTGTGGCGCTCCTACACCCGCCGGACAGACGGACTGGTGTTTGTGGTGGACTCTGCAGAGACCGAGAGGTTAGAGGAAGCTAGAATGGAGCTGCACCGGATCAGCAAGGCTTCTGACAACCAGGGGGTGCCTGTGCTGGTGCTGGCCAACAAGCAAGACCAGCCCGGGGCACTGAGCGCAGCCGAGGTGGAGAAGAGGTTGGCAGTCAGAGAGCTGGCAGCTGCGACGCTCACCCACGTGCAGGGCTGCAGTGCTGTGGATGGGCTGGGCCTGCAGCCAGGACTGGAGCATTTGTATGAGATGATCCTGAAGAGGAAGAAGGCACCTCGGTCCAGCAAGAAGAGACGGTGACCCGAGGCTGCCCCTACCCTACCTGCTAGGGGTCAGTACACATTATAGTCAGGCAGGGCCTGTGACCTCTCAGCCAGCCTAGGTGCTGGACCTGTCCACCTCAGAGGACTGAAGGAGCATAGGTGGCCCTGTGTGCCACATGGGGGAGGGGAAGTGTCTCCACTGCCCTTCACCTGTAGGGGCTGCAAGAACGGAGACAAATGTAGATGCTGACTCTACCTCGGCCCTGGCCCTCCTTTTCCTTCCCTGGCATTTTATTTGGATATATATTTTTATCTTTGCAGGGGGAGGGTGTGTCGAAGGTTGTCCAGAGAATGCATTTGGGGGTGAATTGAGAACATCTTTCCGCTCTCTACAGTTGGGGAGAAGGGTCTCCTCAGCCACTCCTCTCCTCACAGTTGTTCTGTGTCTGTGAAAGTGCCAAGAGTTCTCCCCATGTTTGTAGATCCCTGGCCCTTTTTGTAAGCCTCGCGTGTCCTCTGTATTACTGGGTTTTTTTTCTTTGTTTTTTTTTTATTTTTTTTTAAAGCATTTGACTGTAAGTTATTAAAGTTGGATGATTCTACCTCTTGTTTTGATCTGGTAACTTCCTCTCACCTTACTCAGCTAGAGGCCCTTGGAGAGTTTGGGATTTGCATGGAAAATAGGGGAAGGGGGTGTGTGTGCTTATCCCGAGTGAACAAAACAAGGACTCACAGATTAGATATGTACTTATGGGGTGGCTGGTGCAAATTCTGGAGGAAATTGAAAACCCCTAAAGCTACTGTTGCCTGACCTAGTTTAGAGGTCACAGCTCCCCTCTCTCCTCACTTCTCTGGCCTTTGCTCCTGAGACTAGCTGCTCCTAGATCTACCCCAGGGCAAAGTATCTGCTCCTAGGTCTCCGTGCCCATGACCCTGAAGTGTCTTTCTGGGCCCATCGGCGATTTGGTTCAAGTCGGTCTGACTTCTTTCCCCTTGTGGAGGACGTAGTAGAGATGGAAAGCAATTCCTGGCCTTAAGCCACCTCCAAGAGCTCAGTCCTGCTGACTGTGGCTCTCTGGCAGCAGCTGATGCTTCAGAGACCTGGGTTGGCCTGGTGACTAAGCCTGAGTCTTCAGCTGTGGGAACAGCAGCTCTTCTCCCAGAGGGGACAGCAGTCATAATCTACCCCACTCCCAACCTGTGAGACAAGATGGGAAGGGCACAATCGACAGATGTTAATAGAACAAGCTGTGATGTGCACCCGCAGTCCTAGCATTTGGGGGGTAGAGGCAGGAGGGTCAACCCAAGGTGAGGGAAGACCCCACCACCACACACAATAAGGGGTAGAATAATATGTTAATGTTGTCTGGTCCCGAGTTCCTGCTTAGGTTTCCAGGAGCCCTGCCTCCTGCAGGAAGGCCAGCTGCGTCTGATAGAACAATAAGATTCTCCTAATCTTTCTGGGTGGGAGTCCAGAGAAAGCAAAGACAGCCTTCTAGGCCCCAGTCCCACCCACGGCCTTTGCAAACAGGAGCTCCCTAAGAGCAGCTTGACAATCCTGCCCTTGGATCTGATAAAGGGGTGGGGGTGGGAGGGCTCTAAGCAGCTCAGGCTAGGGGAGGCTTTTATTCCAAAAGCTGAAGCTTGCTGCCGAGTCCAGGGTCATCTAGATTTGTCCTCCAACTCCCTTGGAGCTCTGGGAGAATGGTGTGTGTGTGTGTGTGTGTGTGTGTGTGTGTACGCGTGCAATGATCCGGAAGGGTGCCCAAGTGTGCGTCAGTACAAGGGACAGCTTGACAGAGCTGCTGGGCTGGTTCTGCCTGGAACGTGTACTACCTGACCTCTTGACACACCTGATTGATGGCTTTCAGTCCTTTGGAATTGAGTTCTATAGGTCAGGGACAGTACCAGGGTGGGAAGGACATGGCCAGAAGAAGGCTTGTCCTGGGAGATCTTTCCTCCCAATCCCAATTCTGCTTTTGTCTTAAAATTTTTAAGGACCTTTTGCTTTTGTTTCTTGGTGGTTGGTTGTTTTTTACATTAATCTCTGGGGTTAAGGTCTCTAGATCTGAGGAAAGAGGTAAAGGATGTACTCCCTGCTCTCTCTCTTGCAGAGAGGCTTTTGAGGTGCCAGCTTTTGTTTCTGGCTCAGCTAAATACCATTCCTTCTTGTCTATTTAGAAATAGACTCTCTACACTTATGTCCTAGCCATAGGCCAGGTCAGAGATCTTGGTCCCCAGGTCCATGAAACTGTTCCAGCCCCCACCCCACCCCCAACCCTTGAGCTTGACTGTGGAAGGAGGGGAAGGTTGGCAGATGAGAGAAAAGCCAATTGCTTTGACAGTCTGGTGCAGAGAGAGGAGCCCTGAGGAAATCCTGTGTAGTTGGAGGCCGGGGAAGATCACTGGGGGTTGGGGAGGACCACTGGGGGCTTTGGAAACAATCCCAGCTTGACCGTCAATGGGACTGGAGACTGCAAAGCTGTGATTGTCTTCCTATGTTCTAGAAAGGAGTGGGAGACAAGGAGTCTCACTCTCCAGCCCTGCTTGGGGGATTCTGAGTTTTGAACACCCGGCATGGCATACGCCAGGGCTGGGGACAGGTTGTATTTAGTGTGTTCTGCTTTCCCTAGGATGTATACTTTCCTCAGAGGAGAGGGTCTCTGGGGCAGAAGTGGTGGCTGGAACTGGATGCCTAAAAAGGGAAGTTGGAAGACCTGTAGGCTCAGAGTTGGGCTCCCAACTCACCCTTCCTCCTACTGGCCACCCTCTTTCCTTGCAGTCTGAAGGAGGATCCATAAGGAGGGCATGGTCCTTGCTTGCTTTCTCTTCTTGGAGTCTCTTGTTCTTGGGGCAGAGATGGTAGTGGCTCCATTCGTTGTCCTCTTCGGACCTCCTGTACTGCACATGTGCACGAGGAAAACAGGCAAAAGAGAAAGAAAAGCCCTTAAGGATCAGAGTAGGCAGGGATTTGCCCAAGGACACGCAGCTACTTCTGGATACATTCAGATCCTAGTTCCCAGGCAAACAAGTTACAACCACTGAGCTTTTGGCTACCTCTCCCCCACTTCTCTCTGGATCCACACTTCTTGATTAGATTAAGGCCTAGCTTTCCTTGTCTTCCCGCCCTCCCTTCCTGAGGAGTGGAAACTCTTATCTCCTAACCTAACAGAGCTCTGGTTTCAAATCTGGCCAGAAGGTCCACACCTTCCTTTTACACAATGTATCATTACACTCTTAAAACATCTTCTAGGAAGCCCAAGCCAACCCAGACCGGGAGGCAGTATGAATCCAGCTCAACACAAAACCGTAAACATTTGAAACATTATAAGCTGTTCGTTCAAGTTCTGGAAACTCAGTTGTATGGTTCTGTTTTTAGTAGGGGATGGACAGTTGAAGGGGAAAATACTGGAGAGGAGGCTTTGAGGCATACCCCACCCCATCCCTTAAACTTACACACACACACACACACACACACACACACACACACACACACACAAAACACAGTTCCTTGGAAGGAGCAGACTGAACATTAGCCCTGGTGCTCACTGCTGAGGAATCTGGCTGGAGTCATAGGACCTCCTCCCCTGGTTGAGCCAGAAGAGGAAAAGATTTCTTTAAAAAAAAAAAAAAAACAAGTCTTAGCCGGGCGGTGGTGGCGAACGCCTTTAATCCCAGCACTTGGGAGGCAGAGGCAGGCGGATTTCTGAGTTCGAGGCCAGCCTGGTCTACAGAGTGAGTTCCAGGACATCCAGGGCTACACAGAAAAACCCTGTCTCGAAAAAACCAAAAAAAAACAACAAAAAACAACAACAACAAAAAAACAAGTCTTATTTAGCTAGGTGTGGGTTGTTGAGTTCAAGCTTCAACACTGAGGCTGAGACAGGAGGATCACCTAGAATTTCATGTCAGACTTACCCTAGGACCAGGTACCCCATGCAGCGCACACATACACACATAGAGTAAGAAAAAAATGTCCTATGACCGTCGTCCACGACATAGGTGATAGATCTAGTCTAAACATAGGAAATGCTGGGCGGTGGCTCATGACTTTAATTTTAGAGGCAGGTGAATCTCTGAGTTCGAGGCCCTCCTGGTCTATAGAGTTCCAGGATAGCCAGAGCTACACAGAGAAACTGTATCTCGAAAAACAAAAGAAAAAAAGAGGAAGAAGGAAGTAGAGAAACACCCTAATCTAAACTTAGGTGCTAAACGTTATGAACAAGTTTTAAATCTGCTCTTCTGTATCTTTGCATACGGATACAAAGCTGTATCTCTCCAACCGCACAGGGCTTACATAAGACGTTCAGCTTTGCCTCTTTGCCTTTCTCATTTATATCTTGGACATGATTCATTGCTGACACCTATGAGTTTTCTTACTCTTTTTGATGACTACATGAAATTTCATTTTGTGACTGCATCATTATTTTATTAATGAATTTATTGTTGAATTCACCATGTGAATGAACCAAGAAACTCCTTGCATCTTTTTTGTACACTTGAGGAAAATTCCTGTGTCGAAGGGTATTATGTGGGCAAATTCAAGGTGGCTCTGCAGCTAGAGTTACCTGCCGATGACCCTGACAACCTGGGAGTGTCCCCCACATGAGCGACAGAGAGGACTGGCTCCTGAAACTCATTCTCTGACTCCTAAACGTATTCTCAAAACTTCCACTTTGGCATCGTGGCTTACCTGCAGACACACACATGCACACAAAAAGTTTTTTTTTTTTTTTAATTATAGAAGTGTTGGACTTGGTGCACATACCTTTAATCTTAAGGTGTGCATCTCTATGAGTTCAAGGCCAGCCAGGTCTACTTAGTGAGTTCCAGGCCAGCTGCACAGTGAGATTCTGTCTCAAAAAGCAAAACAAAACAAAGTAATAAATATTATTATTATTATTTATTATTAGTTTTGTTTTTCCCCCAGACAGGGTTTCCCTGTGTAACAGCCAATCCTAGAACTCACTCTGTAGATCAGTCTGGTCTTGAACTCAGACATCCTCCTGCCTCTACCTCCATCCAGAGTGTCGGGATTAAAGAAATGTGCCCCCATGCCCTGGCTACATTGTTGTTTTTTTTTAAGGGATATATATGGGCACGCATGATGGTGCATGCCTTTAGCCCCAGCATTTGAGAAGCAGTGGCAGGAGTACAAGGCTAGTCTGGTCTACATAGCTTTTTGTTGTTGTTGTTGTTTTGTTTTGTTTTTTTTTAAAGGTGCACTGAGAGTAATATGTATTTAAGGCTTAGCCAAAGTTGGAGGAAAAGAGAAGTTTAAAGTTTATCTAACCTCACCCTCGGATGGCTGCTCTCTGGGCCTCTCCATACTGAGTTGTCTACAGTGTCTTCGCTTTAGAGAGGGAAGGAATATAACCAGTAACTGGGTAGAGGGTTCACTTGGGTGGAGAGTGAGCCTCGACACCACTGCCGGCTGCCTGGCTGGTGGCGGAGGCTGACAGATGGTGAAGGCTCCCTAGCACCCTGCTTGTCATAAACGTCAGGCAAAGTAGGCGACGCAAGTCCTGAAATAACTCTTGGGGTGGAGGGGACTTAGCTCAGGGAGGGAGGCAGAGACTAGAAATGTTTGCTCAAAAAAGAAAAGAAAAAAAAA